TCTTTGCGGAAACTCAAATGTTGTTGCCATCAACATTCGAAATCATGTTAATCAAGTGAAACATCGAGCTATGAGGGACTGGCCTAATGCCGATCTATGCCATATACTGGCCTTCTACCTCACTGCAGAGGACAAGATTAAGATATTTTCTCCACGGAATGTATCCCACCACTTGAACATGGAAGATCTGTTACAGGAAACTATCGATCAAATAGGCAAACATGTCACTGAAGCGGCATGGGAACGCGCAAACGGAGATAAATCCACTTTCATGCACAAGATGATTAAGGCAGCGGAAGGCCTTGGTCAATGGTTCAACAATTCAGTGGACAAGAAGTCACCAGAGTCGATGCGAAACTTGGATCAAGCTGTCCCAGGTTTGTCGCAAGCTGTTGGATCAATGCAGAACCTTCTTGCGTTCTTTCAGCATATCTACAGCTCTCATGGTGTCACCATTGGTCCTACCCCTGACAGATTTACAGTCAAATGCCATCGAGCTCACACTAGCTTTGCAAAGATGAAGTCTGATGCCGCAATCAATTTCATCGGCAATGCTGGTACCTCTGATGAGACTGTGAATGTTACAGATGTTATCAACTATGGATATGGACCGTCTGATTATCAAGACGAGGGTTCTGAACCCGACTTGGTGAAGTTCATGCGAAGCATGGAGGAGTTCAGGGAGCTCTCCAGTGATGCGCATGCCTATCTACTTGTACCACAGGAGAAGATAGCAGAAGATCTCATTGATTGTTGCGGTTATGCGGGGGAGATGGTGGCAGCCATTTCTCAGCTTGAGAGCGCTATTGTTTATCCAGTTGGCAGTTCAGGCACTCCAGGTATAAAAGCGAGACCGCAGCTTAGGTCTGCGTCAACGGGATTGTACAGGAGAGTCGTTGACCTCAGTAATACTCCGTATGCCAAGAAAGTCAAGGCGGCTGTTGCCAAGGGCGCGCTACGCAGCACACAGAATCCATACGGGAGCAGGAACCGAAGGTTTGAAGTAGGGCAGGCTCCGATGATGGAAGATACCCTGCTGGACAGCACAGGAAAGTTATGCTCTCTGGTTTATAAAGGTTTCTCTCAAAATAAGTTTGCTAGGACAGAGGACAACAAGGAGTTCCTCGAGTCACTTCAAGCTCAACAGGCGAGCACTTTTAAAAATGTGCGACATGAGCGCTCTGAACGCTCTCAGAAGCCGCCTCCAGCCGCTCAACCCCCTAAGCAGGGCGTTAGGGCGCTTGGA